GATGCAAGTGGGCACGCGCAAAGTCTTGTAGGCAGAGAGAGAGGAAACGGGCATGCAGAGGACAAATTAGAGTGACTTCTTATTTCTGGGTCCTAAATCTGGGTGCATGCCTTGTCAGAAACGTTAGTCCTTCTATCCTTAAATCTCATGCAGGGCACCTGGGCGAACTCATCGGCATGTCAATGTATCTTGTGCTGATATCTGAGCAGGAGGAGGTGGACTATCCTCTTTCCAGATTGCTTTCTGCCACCTCCTTCATTAGAGGCCGGATTGGTGAAGTGTGCACGGAGCCAGGGTGAAAATTGCACTCGACTCATTAGCTCGGTCGCGCATGCTCAGCTCGGTCAATGTGAACTCAATATGGTGCATGTGTCTTATGCTTCACACGTGAGTGTAATTCAAGGCGTCTGCTCTAATTGCCTACATGGCCTGGCTTCTACCTGGGGAATCTATAATATTTTTCTGATCATCCATACTTATTATTTTTATGGGAGCTCAGAAAAATCACCAAGCAGCCAGATCCCTTCCTCCCTCCCCTTTTAACGTCAGGACATTTATTTGTTTAAGTTAGTCTGAGGGTACATACTGTGGTTTATCTCTTAGAAAGTAATCAAAGCTGTTCAACCAGTTGTGTGAAACTTGAAAAGCGTAATTAAGCTCATTAGTTGCTAAACAGCAAAGGCATGTTCGTATTAAGAAGACCCTACTAGAGAAACAGAGTCAACACTTGAATTTTAAGTAACTTATATATTCAAGCTGCAGAAATCAAGCAAGTCATGGACACAGAGCTACCATTTAATACCTTGAAGCGGTGAGCAACCAGAAAAGAAATAAAAATACAAATCTGGGATACCTAGGCATAATTAATATCTATATCACACTATAAAGGAAATATATGAAGTTCAGAACTGTTATGTGTTCATATACACAAGGGACTTCAATGTCTATAATACAATGACGTATGAAAACTGCGTGAGATTCTTCCAATTCTCTTCACTTATTGTTATGCGCTGTGTTTACGCCTATTTGCTATTTGTGATGAAAACTGTTAGCTTACAGCCTTGGGACATGCATTAAATCAGGAAGATTGGGTTCCATATCATTTATACCGAAATGGCTACTGAGCATTAACTTTAGCTTTCTGTCGACTCTATAAAATATATTTACAAGATTTCATTGTAAATCTCCCAACATAACATCTGGCTCATAGTAGTTCCTCACACGGCACTGACTATGTGAACGTTTGTAAGTCTTTATGTTTGAGGAGTGACAGAGCTGTGACCCAATCCATCCACATACTAAGCTTCTTCTTCTTCTTTTTTAAAAAAAAATATTTTATTGATTTTTTACAGAGAAGAAGGGAGAGGGATAGAGTTAGAAACATCTCATCAACCAGTTGCCTCCTGCACACCCCCCACTGGGGATGTGCCCACAACCAAGGTACATGGCCTTGACCGGAATCGAACCTGGGACCTTTCAGTCCACAGTTTCGTTCACTCACTAGACTGTTGTTGCTCATCTGCTAATTGACAATGACCGTGAATGAGAAAAAGAGGTCCTTGCTGACAAGTTTGAGGGTGACAAGGGTCAGGGCACAGGGATGCCTCCTGCAAACCACCCACGAGCAGGGCTGGGGACAGTAGGCACCTGGGAATGGGAAGATCCGAGGTTAACCCGGAGTTCCCGAGCCTGCTGGAGAGTTCCCGCCCAGACACATGTGTTTTGTACCTAAAAGAATAACGCGGGGGCGATTCCCGGGCTATTGAAACAGAGTGTGCTTCCTGGTGACTGAATCACACTTGGCACCGAAGAATCCTCCCTTCGGCTCCGTGTTCTCCCTCCGGCTCCGTGTTCTCCCTCTGAAAATCAAGCCAGAGCCAGAGTCAGAAGCAGATACACGGGCAGAGGCCCATCCTTGGGAAGGATGCTCAGATGTGCATCTGGAGGGAGCGCGGAGAAGGGGGGAGGAGCAGGAGGAAGGGGATGGAGGATGTGAGCCAGGGGTCCGCTGGGAAGCGTGTGCCCACATTTCACACCTGGGCGTTCGTTTTCCAATGACAGAAAGCACTAGCCACGTTGGCACTTGTGTTCATATGTCTTCATCCATCGCCACACGCCCTCCCCCTGTGCCACTTCCCTGCGCTTCTCGGGGGGGGGGGGCAGGATTTGTGGATTGAATGGGACTTTCTCCTTGTCCACTTCTTCTCACCGTGTCCCCTTTTCGATGTGGATGAAACAGCTCTGACTCCGCTCATGCAGCGGGCCACGCGTGGAATGTAGGGCAGGCTTTGTTACTTCTCTTCCCGCCCGCAGAGGGATGTTGATAAGGGGACCCGTGAAGGTGTGAATTGTAACCTATAGAGCCGAGTTGAGATTTCTAAAAACGGATCCCAGTGTTAGAGTAGAAGGGAAGCTTTCACACACACAGCGAGAGAGAGAGAGAGAGAGAGAGAGAGAGAGAGAGAGAGAGAGAGAGAGAGAGAGAGAGAGAGAGGGAGAGAGAGGCAGGCTATGAAATGGGAGGGCAAAGGGGCACAGAGCACAAAGGAAGCCGAGGTAAGAAGCGTGAAGGAGGGAGATATATTTTAACAGCGGGACGTGGTGTGACATGACACGGAGAAAAAAGGGCATGAGAGTGGACTGCAGTGTAGAAAGATACGGCGACAGGAGAGGCAAAAGCCAAAGCCCGCGACCAAATTAGAACGTCTGCCTCCAGGGAATTGAAAACTATACCAAGGTGAGCAAAACATCTTCCAATTACAAATTTGCGCCAATGCCCCAAATGGCCAGATTTTAACAATCGCAGGATAGTATTCCTTATGCTACGCTATTGTTTTAATTAAATTTTTTTTTTTAATTTAGAAGTATTACATTTTCCACTTGGACAATTAAAAATATTTTTATTGATTTTTATAGAGAGAGGAAGGGAGAGGGAGAGAGAGAGAGAGATAGAAACATCAATGATGAGAGAGAAACATCATTGATCGGCTGCCTCCTGTATGCCCCACACTGGGGATCAAGCCCGCAATCCGGGCATGCGCCCTGACCGGGAATCGGACTCTTGGTTCCTGGATCAATGCTCAGCCACTGAGCCACACCAGCCAGGTTCCACTTGGACAGTGTTAAGGCACTGAGGGTGCAAAGGAACAGAGGTTTTGCTCATTTCCATGGTCTTCCTTGCGATGCCCCCTAACCCCCATGAATGAGAGTATCTCAGATAACCCCAAATCTTGCCATGGGCTGTCTCATCGCTGAGTCTCGGGCCCTATCCCATCATGGACAAGCGGTTGGTTCTTCTGAGCAAGGAGGAGCCCCAGAAAGCATGAGCCATGCCCTGGGGGTACCTAACGGCTCCCCTTGCCCTCCAATGCCCATGCGCTCAGCGTCTGTGGACCCCGATGGAGTCAGTTTTTGGCGCAAATGGAATCTGGGCTTGCTTGTGTATATGGCGCTTTTCCCAGGTGAGCAGGCGCTGAGAGTGGAAGACCAACTGTGGTCCCTCAGGTATATGCCCTCCTCTCCCTGCGTGGACCACTGGCTGGAGCATCCCCAGGGCGGGAACAGCAGCAACAGTAACCGGGCAGCACATGGATCTCAAGGTTTCCTCTCCTGAGCTGGCCGCCCAGCCATCCCCCAATGCTCCCCCTCCAGGGGCCCGGAGGCCCTCCCGACCATCCTAGTGCGAACCCTAGGGTACCTGGAGAACATGAGGTTAAGTGCCATGAGGCCGCCGGAGAAAGACAAATGTCACAGGATCTCACTCATTGGTGGGATCTAATGAGCAACATGCACCAATGCACAGAAACAGATCCAGAGCCAGGGAAGCGTCCATCAGATGCTCAGACTTCAGAGGGAAGGCAGGGGAGGGTGGGGGGGGGAGGGGGAGAGATCAACCGAAGGACCTGTGTGCATGCATCTGAGCCTAACCAGTGGCCACAGACACCAGGGGTTGAGGACATATGTGGGGATGGGGGTTGGGGGGAGGGACACATATGTAACACCTTAATCAATAAAGAAAAAAAATCATTAAATTCTAAAAAATAAAAATAAAAATAAAGAGTCCCTGCTTTTTCTGCATCAGGGAAACACCTCCCTTCCTTGCAGACAGAGAGGAAAATTCAGGGGAGATCCCGAGGCAGGAGGCGCGGGGATTCCCCCGCAGCACAGCCCGCCCCGCTGCGCCAGGGGATGGGGGCGCCTGGGACTCCCCGGGCATCCTCTCCACCTGCCCGGCCCGCCGGCGGGGGACCCGGGATCTGCACCCGGGACTCCCCATCCAAGGATCCACCGGGCGCCCCCATCAGTCCTCCGTCCTGGGTCCTCCCTCGCGGTCCTCCCTCCCGGGTCCCGTTATGCAAATGAGGGGGCGTCCCATTGGCCGGGCTCCCGGCGCAGCACCGTGGGGGCAGGTGCCGGACCTCCCTGGGGCCCGGGGGGCAGAGTGGGGGGCGCCCTGGGGGGGCACCTGCCGGCTTTGGGGAGGCGCTCCAGCCCCTCCTCCCCCGCGTCCCCCTCTCCCCGGCGCCCCCTCCTCCCCGGCCCTGCCAAGTTACTTCTGCCTCCCGCCTCCCCCGAGCCCAGGGGACCAGGGGCGGCGCCGGCCCAGGGGCGGTCCCCTGGCGGCGGAGAGCAGGGTCGGAGCCAGACTTTGGCTCCTGGGCTGGGCTTGCATCCTCCCCATCATCCATCCTCTCCATCATCCTCCCCATCATCCTCCCCATCATCCTCCCCATCATCCCCCCTGCAGCCCAGGCTTCGGCTCCAAGCGGACCCTAACCCTCCAGGCCCCTTCCCCCTGCAGCCCCTCCGCGTCTCCATCCCTCACCCCCCACCCCGCACCCCCCATCCCTCACCCTCTTGGACACAGCATCCCGGGCGCCCCCTCCCTCTGCCCCGCCCCCTCCCCTCTCCGCCGTCTCCCTTCCTCCCTCCCTCCCTTCCTCCCTCCGCTGCTCCTGCCGCTGCGCTCGCTCCTCTGCTCTGGGCAGGAAGGAATCAGGATGGTCGATCTGGAGAGCGAGGTGCCCCCTCTGCCTCCGCGGTACCGGTTCCGGGACCTGCTGCTGGGGGACCAGGGATGGCAGAACGACGACAGGTGAGCGATGAGCGAGGCGGGCAGGGTCCTTGGTACAGACAGCGGGAGCCCGGGCAGGTGGGGAGGTGCAGGGGGAGGAGGAGGAGGGGGGGCAAAGGAAGCCAGGGATGGGGGGACTGGGAATGGCACCGCCCCCCCCCCCCGCCTGTCTCTCCCTGTTGACTCCATGGAGACGTGGCTACAGACAGGGGCTCCTTCCTTCCCTGTGCACTCCCGGCCCCTGCGCCCGGCTCATGGCATTGATGGGGTGCTGGTTCCTGTCCCTGTGTGTCTGTCCAGAGGGGATGTGTGTGGGGCCGGGCTCAGAGGCACTGAGCATCCAAAGGGCAGGCAGGATCCGTGCCAGAGGATCCCGGGTGTCTGGTCCCGAAGGCGGGGGTGATGAAGTCGGAAGATGCGGTCAGGTGGACTAGGAAAGCAGAGCGGAAACTTAGGGGAGTCCCCCCGCCCCATCAGGGATGTCTTAAGGGGGTGTCCCCCTGCCTCTGGGTGTTTCTGCGTTGGCGTTACAGGTGGACAGGCTCACGCATGTAACAGGTGGTTGGCTGGGGATAATGCCAGCCTGTGCCATGGAGGGGAGTCCCTCTGGACAGGAAGCAGTGAGCATCCTTGGTCAGCGTCCGGATGCGGTGTGTGCAGAGAATGATCGGGACTGTTCATTGTGGAGAGAGCACAATATGATCTTTTCACCGTTAGTGCATTTTTTTAACCTAAAAAAATAGCGTCCAGGCCACCAAATGAACACTGGTCCCCTGAACTAGAATAGTTATTATCCGCAAAATATTGCTCATGGGAGTGTCCACACATCCCTGCTTTGCCTAAACTTCTGAAACTCCTCTGGCTAGTTCTGTGTCACTACTTGAAAAAAAAAAAAACAATAACAAAAAACACGTTTTCTGTTTGGCTGAATGCAGCCTTTCCTGGAACACATGCCGCCTTGCCTGGTTTGGGGATGATCTGCTGCTAGAGAGGTTTCCTTGAAGTTCACTTTGTTTCTGGTGCGGTCTTTTCATTGCATATAAAAAGGTCCGGTGTTGGTCTGATTGAAAAACCGGTCCCTTCCTTCTCTTCCTCATCATCTCAGCTCCCACTGTCGCCCCTGTGCTTTCACCTGGGAGGGCTTTATCTTGTGCATCGATGATTGACTTGTCCTGGGTCTCTGATGAGTAATTTAAAGGGACATGGGTGTTCTGCAGAAGATACTGATTCAATTCAGCCTTTTTATGCAAAAACATACAGGCTGGCTAAACATGAAAAAGGCTGAATACCAGTTTACCAGTAGGCTCGGAGATAAAGGCTTTCTGGTTGACCAGAGAAGATAAAGGAAGGAGTATGTAAACACATTTGCAATGCTAGTTGACATTGAGATCGATTTTGTTAGCCTAGGTAAATGGCTGTAAGTGCAGGAGTGGCCATAGTGACCGGATCTGTGGTTGTTAGTGTAGGGCCTCATCATCATGTAGAATAGAAATCCCCTCTTCGGGGTAGCAAGTTCAAGGTGGGCTGAATGCATATAGAGGGCATCTTTGGGACTTGGTGATGGTAGCACTGTTGGCTCTTTAAAAATAATATTTTGTATTAACTTCAGAGAGGAAGGGAGAGGGAGAGAGAGGGAGAGAGAAACATCAATGATGAGCGAGAATCATGGACCGGCTGCCTCTTGCACGCCCCCTACTGGGGATGGAGCTCACAACCTCGGCATGTGCCCTGATCGGGACTTGACATCTTCTCCTTTCCAGAGTCACATCCTAAAAATAATGGGGGGAGAGATGATGGGAAAGGAGATCCTTTCTACCTTGCTCTTCATTTGAAGCATTTTCAATTGAGTCTTCGTGGGGCATGGTTGACTGGCATGTGAAAATGGGTGAGGCCTAGGATTGATGTGTGAGGATGTGTCATAAAAGAAAGAATATTGTGAGCCTGTCGGGCGTGGCTCAGTGGTTGAGGGTTGACCCCTGAACCAGGAGGAGGTCATGGTTGGATTCCTGGTCAGGGCACACGCCGGGACTGTGGGCTCAATCCCCAACGTGGGTGGTGCAGGAGGCAGCCCATCAATGATTCTCTGCCATCATTGATGTTTCTCTCTTTCTCCCTCTCCTTTCCTCTCTGAAATCAATAATTTTAAAAAAGAGAGAGAGCATTGTGGGCCCCTGAAGATACAGAGAATGTGCACTCCACACCATAAGCTCTTGGCGAACTAACTGTGGATGCATAGTTCACTTAAATTTACATTGTACCAACTTTGGGTAGAGAAACACACATGTAATGTGCATGTGATATGTGTTGAATGAAATAACTTTTTAGTTAACTGCAAACCACATATACAACAGTGGTCTCATGAGATCATCATGGAGCTGAGCAATTCCTATCGTCTAGTGATGTAGCCATGAAAATGTCCTAGCTGAATGCATGACTTCCCATGCTGGCTGTGATGTTGGTATAGACAGACCAGGGTGTTACCAGTTGTATAAAAGTCCAGCAGCTACTATCAGGAACGGTCCATAAGACTTGATCGCGGTTATAAATGACCAAGTTACGGATTTATGCGTTTACTGCACTGTACTTTTTATCATTGTTTTAGCGTATTCTTTTTCTACTTACAATCCCAATCTGCAGTGTCATATCAGCGACAGCCTCATATATCTCGTGCGTACTTAGTTCCCTGATGGCTTCGATTTCTCTTGTGCAAGATTTAATCCCGATTTTTGGACAATGACATGCTCTACAGGCTTGTAGCCCAGGAGTGGTATACTTCACCTTACAACCTGGGTGTGTAGTGGGTTAAACTCTTGGTCGGCAAACTGCGGCTCGAGAGCCACGTGTGGCTCTTTGGCCCCTGGAGGGTGGCTCTTCCACAAAACACCACGGCCTGGGCGAGTCTATGTTGAAGAAGTGGCATTAGAAGAAGTTTAAGTTTAAAAATTTTGGCTCTCCAAAGAAATGTCAGTCGTTGTCCTGTTGATATTTGGCTCCGTGGACTGATGAGTTTGCCGACTACTGGGTTAGACCATCTTGGTGTGTGTAACTGCACGCTGTGATGGTCACACAATGACAAAATTGCTTAGCGACGTGCTCCTTGGATTGTCTATCCTGGGCTAAGCGGGCATAGCTGAATACATAATGTGTATATAACAGATCTATCTTCTAGATGAAATATAGAACACAGCCCTAGCCCATACAGCTCAGTGGATAGAACGTCAGCCTACGGACTGAAGGGTTCTGGGTTCAATTCTGGTCAAGAGCGCATGCCCAGGTTGTGGGCTCTATCCCCAATAGGGGGCATGCAGGAGGCAGCCAATCCATGAGTCTCTCTCATCATGGACGTTTCTCTCTCTCTCTCCCTCACCCTTCCTTTTTGAAATCAATAAAAATATATTTTACAAAACACACAGAATTCATGTGTAATGTATGTGCCGTGTATGTAGCAGCACCAGCCTGACACAGTTCCCGACTCCCTCTTCTTCACCGGTATTCTCATGCTTGTTTCTGAGCAGGACAAGGAAAAGGAGAGAGACACAGGTGAGCGGGTCATTTAGCACACCAGGGACAGGCGTCCTGGGGGCCAGAGAAGACACTGGAGAGTTGCTACGTGCCAGCAGTGCGTATGCCTCCCGGAGGGCTGTTGTGTACACGGGGCACGTTCATTCATTTCTTTGGCGTCCTCAATAAAACACACAAATCTAATTCAAGTGCTCCGAATGGCATTTCTCCAATGGCCGTGCGTGCCTGCAGCTGATAGAGGAATGCATACTCCCTCTCAGGCCTCATTAAGTCAGGGCTGGGCAGGAACAGAAGGAAGCACGTGACCAGGGCTTGCTGAGGAGGTGCTCACGCAGATAATTAAGGGTGACTTTCTCCCCAGGATGTCGGCATTATGGCTGACGTACCTTAGGGTGAAGGCCTTGGGAAATTTCCACCTTAAGGCTGTTGAGCGATCTTGCACTATTTGTAAATAGCATAATCAAAGTTTGCTTGAAATTATATTAGGGATGGACCCAAGTAGTCGATATATTTAGAACCTAATATTGAGAAGACTTGATCTCTTCCAAGTTACTCTGTAATTGAACTGATATGACTAGAGACTGAATGGAAGGACATTCTGTACTGTGAAGAATTGTTGTATTGAAAATCCAAGGAGTCCTGGCGCCATGCTATGCACCAGGAGGTTGCCAGCTCGATTCCGGGCAAGGGCGTGTGCTCGGGTTGTGGGCTGAATCCTTGGTAGGGAGCATGCAGAAAGCAGTTGATTCATGTTGTGCTCTCCCATTGATGTTTCTCTCTCTTTCTCTCTCTCTCTCTCTCTCTCTCTCTCTCTCTCTGAATAAAATATTCTTTAAAAGACATCCACTGAGACTGAGCTCCAGTTGTCCTCAGTGCATCATGTCTTCTGTTGGAATATTTCTTAGATTCATAAACCCATAGAACTTTAGAATGTTCTCCTGAAGGTAGAGATTGGTAATTGTCAAACGTAGATCCCAAATGCCTTCAGACAGTGAGAACAAGCCTTTCTCATGCTTCATCATGACTTAGTCATTTTAAAGTTGGGAACACAATGCACTTGTTGTGGATAAATTATTGCCGAGGAGGATAAATTGCTGTTAATGGACAGTTCCCAGCTCTAGTCACGCACAAGTGGGGCATTTATTTAATTAACACCATTTTCGTTCCCAAAGATCCGCTCAGTGGCTTCAGCTCCATTAATTTAAAATATATCTTTCATATTTTATAGGCGGCATTTAGAATAATGCAACCTAATGCTTTGTCGTAACTGTGGACACATTAAGGGATCTGAACAAACAGTATGATGCAATCAATTAATGGCTTAAGAGGTATTTATAAAATGGGAGGGGGCATGCATAGATAGCTTTCTGAATATGGGTAATTTTAGATATTGTAAAACTAAATCGGAGGCATCAAGTTGAAGGAATAGGTTTTGGATGGGTAGATGACACATTTGTATAATTTACCAATTTTATGACCCTTGTTAACTTACATCTTAT